CAACAAAGCTAGAAAAGGCTAGCTGAAAAATAAGAAAAACAAAAGGCYAGCTAAAAGTAACAAAAAGCTAATTAAAAGTAGCAAAGGATAACTGAAGGTTAGAAATAGCAAAAAGTTAACTACAAAATAAAAATAACAAAATGCTAGCTAAACAAGGCTAGCAGAAAGTAGCAAAAATGAAAGCTAGAAATAGYAAAAGGCCAGTTCAAAATACAACAACAAAAGACTAGCTAGAAGCTAAAAACAGCTAAAGGCTAATGGTAGCTTAAAAATAAGTAGTTAAAGTACAAAAAGCAAAACAGATAAAATTTGCTGAAGTAAATTTCAAAAAGGAACAATGATTTTGAAGGATTTGTATTTTCATATTTGTAAGTAAAAGAAAAAGAAATGTCATGACACCCATCTGCTGAATGAGTTCAATGACTTGATTTACAAACAGCTAAAACAGCTCAACAGAAAATTGCAAGAAAGTATGAAAAAGTTAAAGTCTGAATGTTGAATCGAGAGCAGATCTCAGATCAGAGGAAACAGAGTCGTTAAGCTGAACTCTAAACATGACCTTGTTCAGCCTGATGGAGCGACGGGCCGCTCAGCTCGGGTCAAAGTTAGGCACCRGGTCCAGATCTGTGCAGGGATCAGTGAGAGGAGCTGCTCCTCATGACATGAACCCTGAACCCTGAGTGTGTCCTGGGATCAGGCCTGACGTCACAGCCCCGCCCCAACGAGGAGTGATCTCATCCGAGCAGCATCCATCCCCCCCACATCCTGCCCCTCATTCAACAAAGCATGAAAAATGTTCTCATTTAAAGCACTGATTTGACTCGGATACAACAGAACAAACCAAAAATCAGAGCTGATGTCCCCTGAAAACAAAGCAGACTTAATTGTTGTTTTCATTGGTGGACTCAGACWCCCATCAGAGCCAGCAGGTGCATACGGTCAGCAGACTTCCCAGCTGGACGGAGCTCACTCTCAGAGGGAGCAAAGCCAAGAGTCAGCAGGTGGTCTTATGTGGAGGACAAATGTAGCTTTGTACGCAGAGTAAAGACCCCATGAACCATTTGTCTGAGGAACAATGGGAGTGCCAGGCTGGTTGGAGGTGGGGGAAAGAAAAGCAGCAGCATGTTCGGTTCTGAGGCATGTTCACAAAGTTTACAGCATTACAACTCACTGTTTTCTAACCTGTTGCATGTTCAGGCTTCCTGTCTGAGGGACACCGAAACAGGAAACAGGAAGGAATGTGGGAGTAGATGAAGGGTGGAAAGGAGGGAGTGCGCTGTGCTGGGAGCTCTGTGTGTGAATTACTCCAAAAYCTACATTAAACATCAGCAGGTGCAACCAAATTTATAAGATCACATATTCAGCTATTTATCCTACTTATTAAACCTATTAACATAAAAATGACTTGTTGGATGAAGAAGTGCACATTTGTTTAGGCTAAGCTAACATTTAAGGCATAATATTCATCAAAATAAGTGATATTTCATAGTTTTTCACTTGAACTTTTATGTTTTATGTTTCAATAAATGGTTGGGTGATAATCACGAGGAGCCAGGCTTTTTTGCAATAAAGAATTCAAGATGGCCAACAYAGCTAACTCCAAATG